CATATTGGCAGTTTTCTATTTTTCTATACTTGGTCAGAAAGACACTTTTTATAACACCTTCAGCCTAGATCCCCTCACGATGATGGTTTCTTTAGTTAGACAGTGAAACACTGGAGTGGAGATAACATCTATTTGAATTTTAGCTGTAGCTTGAAGAAACTACCACTGTAACCTACAGAAATAGCAAGAAATTGAAGTCACAGCATTGTGATTATATAAATAGATGTATAGAGGAATATTCCACAAGTCTCTACCTACCTTATCATTTAGTTGTTGTATTTCTTGTTGACTTTGAGAGGAGAGCACTGTGATAATATAAATAGATGTATAGAGGAAAATTACCCAAGTCTCTGCCTACCTTATCATTGAGTTGTTGTATTTCTTGTTGACTCTGAGAGGAGAGCAGGAAGGACTGCATCTGTTCCTTCAGGGTGTCATCCTGAAACAGATAGCATTTTTTTATTTCATCCACACATTACCTAGCTTGCTAATAGGGGAATTTTCTATCTAAATGACAAAGACAAATAGGACCATATCACAAATGCCACCCCAGGAGCAACAACAAGGGGGAGGAGGAGCATTAAGGTTCAACATCAGGTAAGGTACTCGCTCCCTTGAACAAAAACATTAAAATACCACAATTCTAGCAAAAATCACTGACAGCTTTCAGTGGTGAACTAGTCCATGTGAGATCTTAGACTGAACAAATTTTACACTGGTTAACTAATATTTATGCATATTTTTCATATGAAGATCAAACTTTCCAAGTACTCACCACCTCCACATCAATATCATAACAAGCTGTTTTCTTGGCAGCATCAGGACCTTCCACTCTGAAATATCACAAATTAAACACATGATAGTAATAGAGATTTGAATAATTATCCACGTAGAAACAGAAAAATGGAAAAGCATAATGTGCTCTATACTTAAGTACTATCCCTCCCACTATGTTCTATTGCAATCAGGGTGGCTAGGTTGGGGACAGCATGGAGAATTTTCACTGTTTTATTTTTTTTTTAATAATTAGTTTTGTCAAAGGAGACAATCACTAAAATTTAGGAAAGGTTGAAAAATAGTCTAAAATGTCAGAGTTGAAAAATAATCTAAAATGTCAGATCAAAAGTACAGCACAGTTAATACATATCTACCAAACAGACACACATATTAATAAATAAATTCCTGGTTATATTCAAACAATATTTTGAAATGATCCCAATTATATAAAGAGTGGAGACAAAACCATGCAAAAACCACAGAAAATAGTGTGACCAAGATACTAGAATATCAAATTCTTTCAAAAACTATTTCTTAATCTAAGCATCAGAAATTGAAAACATACATGACCAGCAAATATTGGAGTACGTGAAATTTCCATGCATAGCTAGGAAGTGCAAAACTTAAAGAATTTAGTAAGTATCAAACAAGCTAGTGTGAGTTATAAATGGGCAAATAAAATGAATTAATGCAAAGCAAGCAAAAGTAATAGGTTAATTTCATGACAAGGAAAGCTAAACAATGAGCGACAACTGCTGTTGTTAACACATACTACCATCATTGTATTAACACATTCTGTTTTTCTTAACTAAAATGGTATTTTACAAAAATTCACTAATTAAAAAAAAAAAAAAAAAAAAAAAAAAAAAAAAAAAAAAAAAAAAGACACACTTCACACTGACTTCTCATTAAAACAGATTTAAAAATAAAATTATAAGTGTAAAAATCTTATCAAAATGTCCCCAAAATCCATTAAAAGATAAAAATCAAACTCCTTGAATTTGAGCACTGCAAAAAGACTAAATAAAACTGAAATCTATAAAAGGCACAGGTAACAATTTTGGTATTAATACAGTCAGTTTTCTGGCTCAATCACTTTACAGGACTAAAATATTTATGACACCAAATCAAAATTTGAAACTTGTAAAACATAATTTAATTTTTAAAACATAATTTTAATTTTTTCAAATTTTTAGCTGTTTAATAACCCAAATCTGCCATCAAGGCTTAAAATGCCCAGATAAGATGGTGATAAAATGTGCGTTAAAAGATATTTAAAGACAAAGTTTCAAATAACAGTAAAACTGCCACTGAACAATATAAAAAATTTAGAAATTTGAACCCAAAATGGCCACCTGTGCGTGCTAAGGTTTGCCACCACTTACTTGGTACTGCCTGAAGCTGGGGAGTGGAGGCTAGAAGGAAACGGAAAACACATTCTCAAACAATGACACCTGTTATTACAATATAATCCAAATTGGGGCACATTAAGGAGCTTTATATCACATTCTGTGGTATGATAAAACTTGGTGTAAGGGGGGTCCACTTTCCAACCACTGACATGATAGTGTGAAATCTAATGACATAAATTCTGTTGTTTTTTTTAAGTTTGTTTTATTTTAATGGAGCCAAACACAAGTCTTCTTTTTCTTATTAAAATTGCTTTGCTTGTATTTTTGGGGAAATGCTGTTCAATTAAATCACAATAAATTACAATCAAGAACACTTGTGAAAAAGACCTTAAAAGAACTACCACAATGAAGGGAGACACTGAAATATAGCACAACTTGAATAAAAAATAAATTTATACACAAATGAATGGTATTTTTATCAAAAGAAAATTATCCAACTATTTAACTGGTGACTATTATTACAGCTATGTAACTATGGCAACTCTTAATAAGACTGATATTTAACAGTCACCATAATACTGACAAAACTGAAATTGTTAGTGAAGCAATAAAAGCAGCAACTGAATATAAAAGCTGCATTTTACAGTGGGTACAATACAGTTATGGACATTGCATTTTCTATAAATTAAGAGCTGGTTTTATAAATATTATTATAATAATTGCCAGTATATACTGATGAAGCTTTTAAGTATTTTTCTTATCAACCTACAGAATAAACAAAGCTATGTAGGTATATATGCAATTTTGATATAAGGAAGCACTTAAATACAATAGAAAACAATATGGGCAGTTATCATTGCCATCCAAACAACTGTTTTGGCATTAAACAATGCATAAAAAAATAATGCAAATGAAAAATGTCAAACTGAAATTGACAATCTTAATCAATGGCATTGCCTTTGATATGTGACCTAATTTGATGCCTAAGACATGTGACCTAGTAACTGATGCCCTATTTAGAAGATGACCTAGTTACTGATGACCTAATTAGAATATGACCTAATTAAAATCTGACCTGGATACTTACAGAATCACATGGTTGATAACAATGGGGTCAGGAGGCATGAGCAGGGCGTGCAGTCTCTGGGGTATCTCTGAAAACTTCATCCTCTGACACTGAAAGATCTGGAAAGTTGAAATAAAAATAGAAATATTGTCTGAGTTAAGAGGAGAAAAAATTTTAGCAAACGATTCACAAATTCTCTTCGATTGATTAATCAAGTAATGCTGACTGCATTTTTCTTCTTAATAATATGAAAAACAAAAGACAAATAAAATTCATAAAGTACTTAATTTCTAAATTAAACAAATGCTCTTTTTTTCTCTCTGACAACCATTTTGTTACACAGAAACACACGTTAATGATAGCACACATGCACACACCCATATATACACAAACATGTATGCCCATGCACGATCACGCACGTACTGTACCTGGTGCAGATAATTGTCACAGTTAATGTACTTTCTCTCAATTCTCTCTCTCTCATCTCTCTTTCTCTCTCTCTCTCTCTCAGAAACACACACATGTTCAGTACATTACCTGGTGCAGATATTTGTCACAGTTAATGTACTCTCTCTCACACACACACACACACACACACACACACACACACACACACACACATAAAGTACCTGGTGCAGATACTTGTCACAGTTAATGTACTCTCTCTCTCTCTCTCTCTCTCTCTCTCACACACACACACACACACACACACACACACACAAAAAGTACCTGGTGCAGATATTTGTCACAGTTAATGTACTCTCTCTCATGTTTGTCCTGCAGTTTGTGTGTCTTAATATACTGCCACAGAGCATTGATAATAACTGGTCTTGTCTGTGTGTGGACACCCAATAGTCTAGCTAGTCTGGGGTCTAACTTAAACTGCATGGGCTGAAATGATAACAATATATATATCCATTTTATATGATAATAACTGGTGCAGTGTGCGTGTGGTCAACGGTTCCTTTCTGTTTGTTTTTTTATATGTATTTTTTTTTTAATTTAGAGTTCAGATTTTTATATCACAAATAAAGACTGACTTTCACATATACATATTTATACGTGTAGCCATTTGGCAATAGACCAGGTATCCAGTCCATTAACCTGGTGAAAGGTCTCAAATGACTAATAATTATACAAAACATACCTGGTAATCCAGCATTAGGAGCACCGTACACTTGACATTTTTGTCTCCAGTCCTCTTCACTTGGAAACCATCAGTCTCATTAGTGGTGGGAGTCCTATGCCACTGAAATAACAGGAATATATTCATGATTACCATCAGTCTCATTAGTGGTGGGAGTCCTATGCCACTGAAATAACAGGAATATATTCATGATTATCATCAGTCTCATTAGTGGTGGGAGTCCTATGCCACTGAAATAACAGGAATATATTCATGATTACCATCAGTCTCATTGGTGGTGGGAGTCCTATGCCACTGAAATAACAGGAATATATTCATGATTA